ACGTCTATTACTGTAGCAAATTTGTTAAAAATGTTATTTGTGTGTGTTTCCAGAAAAGAAAAAGCTGCTAAACACTTTATGATTTAAAATACTGATTCAGGATATACACCTTTAAATTATAATGCTTTTAGAATGAAGTGCAGAATGCTATAAAAATTACTTCAATGCTCAGATGACTGTGGGATTCATAGATTTAATAGAGTAAAAAAATTCCATTAATTTTTTTTTTTTTTTTTGTTCTTTATTTAGCTAAAAACAATATTAAAAATAATACACACACAAAAAATAAAAATAAAAATAATACCTTTACATACAGAATTTACAGATACTATTTACTTATAAGTTTATTTGTTGTTGATGGTTACTTTTTATTATACTTGGAAAAATTATACTTACATACATATGCTCTTAATATTACACGTATCTGAATATTTAAATGATAATTCCATAACATAATAAGATTCAATCTATATCACAGCAAAGACAATACTTAAATCACAGTTCTTTTTATTAATTAATTTGCATAAGTAAAAACATAAAAATATTATTTAGCTTCAAATCTATAAAATAAGTTCTCTAGTAAACAAACATATGACAAACACATATAGTGAAAATAAAGATAAATAAATAAAAATGTTTTGCTTTTTTGTCTAATGTAGCGCAATTCAGTCTATTATATTCAAATTTTATTAAAACATACTGCAGTAATTGAATTTTTTCCATTATACATCAAACTGCTTTATATAGAATGATATTATATTAGTTTTACTTTTAAAACTAATATAATAGAATTAATTCTCATTTATATGCGGAAATGTTTGAATAAATGCAAAAAACCATCTGAATAAATCTTAGCCAACACTATTCAGATAGTATTCTTGTTTTCAAGGTATATCATTTTTAAAGTTCTTTTTCCATTAAAGGAGCTAACCTAAGAGACTTATTTCATTTACATATATCTCATTGATATTATAAATATAGCTTAAACATGTTTTATGTGCATACTCAAAGGGGGGTGGGAAGTAAGCCTTGATTCAAAATCTGTTTTAAAGCAATAAGTAAATAAATAAAATACACTAGTTCTATTAGAATGTCAAAAATACTGTTATGTATTCTATAAACAAATACAAATTATCACATCATACCACATAACCCTGGTACAAAAGAAGAAATGTCTGATTAGGAACATACTCTATTTATTTGGTAAAAAAGAAGAGTAAAACATATGCAACATCCTCATTATGAAAAATCCTGCAAGCCATTACAATACTATAAGACATTGATTAGTAAGGTAAACATCAGTTGATCATTCTTTCACAACAGCAATAAATGTTTCATTCAAAATTCCTAATAACATGCCAAAACAGATTCACAATTGATGCCTCATTTAAGGTCACACAAAAGTAAATCCGATTTAGCTGACTATGAGATCTTCTATTGTAGAGGACTTTCTAAGGAGAACTGGCTTGTATTCACATTACACATGGGGAAAAACCACAAAAAAACCAACCATGCAGCCAGCCTGTTCGGAAATAGAACAGAAGATGGAACTCCCAGCATTCAGTAACTTTAACCATTCAGCTGTTGGTGGGCCTAATTATTATTCGAAGAGACAAGCAGCAATTTTTCAGTGACAACTACTCTACTTTTTTACAGACAGAACTGAACAGTAAAAACTTCTTAAACTCTTGATTAGATTCTAATTTACTTTCTTCCTTTTAAAAGCAGGAGATGCAAAACTTCGCCCATGCTGCTTTTTATTTTGAAGAAGCTTCTTGAGACCAATTCGACGGGCAGTCAAATAATGTTTTATTATTATTTGTTGTACGTTCTGATATTGCAACCAGGAGGGAATATTTACCTCACCTGCTTTCTTACAAATCATATTAATAAATTCCTCATCCATAGTTACATTTCCACATATTATTTCGTCTCGAAAATTTTGAATTATTTTTTCACACAGAAGGCACAATTTAAAAATTTCAGTAGGACATTTAAGCCCACCTAAATTTTCAAAATTAATTATATACTGCTTATTTTCATCAATGGAAGGAATAATTTGCTCACAAACTAAGAGAAACTGTGAGCATGAATTACAAGCATTTTTCAGTACAGAATTTATGCTCCTGCAATATAACAGACATTATTTTCCTCATTAAGGGTGAGATTCTGTAGAGATAGATCAGAAACTTCTGGTATGGGAACAGGCTCTTAAAAAAGCTTTTTTCCCCTTCAGAAATTCAAATTCGTCTTTCGCATAGTTTAATAAATAAATATCTGAATCAGTAGCATAACTGGAGTTCTTAATGTCAGATATAAACTGAGATAAACAGATAAGCTAGTTTTAATGCTTTTAGAGCTTGCAAAGCACTTGGCCTCAAACCAGCTTTTCTGCGTATCTGAGAAAATACATTTTCTAGAGCATCTTGTGTCAATCTGCTTGTCAAAATAAACTGAAAATCATTCAGAAAACATGCCTCTGCTAACTGTATGGCTGATAAAGTTGAGAGAATCAAACCAGTATGTAATGGTTTCCACCCTTTACCAATTTCTACAAGCTGTGCAACATTAATAAACTCAAAAAGTAACTCAATTTTTTTGCTTTTATTTGTCACAGAAATTGAGTTCTTTCTATGTCTAGAGGATAGCATTTGAAACCACTGGCACATAAATCTTATCCACCATGCTGTTGTAAGAGCATTAGGGCTTCCGCTTATCTCTTTTAAAGCTACTGCCTTCTTCCAATCCCACAGCTGTTTTAATTGAAAAAAACCTCACAGCAGAAGCAACATTCATTTTATCAAAATGTGAGGGGAAGAGGTCTTCTTTGCTGAGATGATGCATAGTTCTCAAACCACAATTTTGGTTTGTTTCAGTAATCCAGATATCTTTTATAAATCCTGCAGATACATGCAAAGTAACCAAAATTTTCTTTATTGCAAACATAACTGGGCAGTTTTATACTATTGATTAAGAGTTGCAGACCAGAGATTTTTTAAAAGATGTGGCACATCTGCAAATACATAAATAATTTTGCCCTTAATTTCAGTAGTGAAATTGAATTTTCTAATTGGTTTCGAGAAACAGATATTCCCAAAGAATTCCACAGGCTTCTATTTACTGCTGCCATATCGCTAACAATACCAACAACATTAAATCCAACAGAATTGACAGCTTCGATAACATTGACAACAAGTTGTTTCAGCTGGCATCCTGTTACCTGTCCAGTTATCTCATGGGCAACCACTTGCTTCCATTTCAGCTTCAGACCTCTTAGTAAAATAACTAAATAGTGATTTCCTGCACCCTTTTGATTTCCTAATGCACATTTACCAATAAATTTACGTTTTGAAATATCAAAATCAGGATTGCCAGAAATCTCCATTTCATCCAATGATAAAATACAGTCTTTATCACTAGCATTCATTTTTTTCTCCTTTAATTTTCAAAAGTTCAATCATGTCACTGATGACTCCAAAATTCATTTCAAGACCTTGAAGTCTTTTATTTAAAGTGCTGTATGAAGGCACAGGAAAACCTATTCTGTGCAAGTAATTATAACCATGCTTGCCCAAGGCAAATCTAACTTTGAGGCCTTTTATTATTCCCTCGTTAGACCATTTTGCAATGCTTGTACGAGGAATTTTCAATATTGCTATTTGTTCATCTGAATGAAATGTTTTCACTCCTTTCAGCAATTCCTCATGCTGTACTTGAAGGTCATGAAGTTGAATTTCAGTGCTATGCCATTTTTTTAAAACATTAATTTCATTTTTTTTTTTTTTTTTTTTTGGTTGCTGTAAGTTCTTTCAGTAATATTTTGTTCTGGCATTGCAGAAGCTAGATCAATTCAGTCTGCTGTTTTATAAAATTCCTTAAAAGAACATCCTGGAATAAAGAAAAAATCTATATGAATAATCATCAAAGAAAGGGGGGGGGGAAACACAACAAACAAAAAAGATCTGAAAGGTTTCAGATTTTAAATTACACCCAAAGGGGCTTTTTTAAACATTTTGTGTTTTACCTTTATTTATTAAATATCAAGTTTTTCACACTTAAACTATAAAATTCAGTTCAACAGCAATATTGCAAGATAATTTTAAAATGAGCATATCTTCAGAATTCCCAATTCATTGTCTCATGCGCTGGAGATAAAAGTGTCTTTTCTGTAAAACATTGCCATTACTCGCTTTGAAATCCTCAAGTTTGTTAATCAAAAATTCGTTAAAGTTTTACAACATATAAAATCTATATTAAAACAAATTCCGAATTTCAAATTCGGGCTTCCAGATGTCCATATTCACAGTAGAATTAAGTCATTCAAAATTTGATGGCTCTAGGTACCGTTGTTTTATCAGAATGCGAAAAACATACATGCATTTATGCAGATTCTTCATTATATAATTTCTTTAAATATAGTACAGGATGATAATATTTGGTGGCAACAATTTGAAAAGTGATGCAGCCGTTTATAGTGTTTCAATACAAAACGAAAACAACAGTCCTTCAGGGACAAAGCCCCTTTGGATTAAATGCCAAACTTAAACAGATAATAAATCCACAAAATAAAAATGCAAGTTCCAGGTCTCTTTTCCCTATACTGTGGTGGGTTTTTAAATTTGACTCTATTGTTTTCAGCATTTTCTAGATTATTTTTGTTTTAATTTTCTAATATTTAAAATTTATTTCACTTAAAAATAGATTTTTTAAAATTTATTTCCAGCTTTTCAAGGGATCGATTATCTCCATAATCATGAGCAATTTAATAACACAAATTATCAACTTATATCACAGCCTTCACAAATGCTGATGAAATTAATTAAAATTAATTACAATTTGGTTGCAAGATGAGACTAAAGGTTGTTTTTTTACAACTATTGATGAAATTAATTATATTCCTTTTACCAAAAAATTACTTTTTTTTTAAATTTTAGAACATTTTAAATGTATATAAGGAAGCAATTTAATTATACATTAGTTATCAACTTAATCAGAGCCTTCACAAATAGATGGTATTTCATTGCAAAATGAGGCTAAAGGCTGTTCTTGCAAACAAACCTGAAATGTACACAAAGAATTTGTAAATGCTGATGAAATTAATTACATTCCTTCCCCCCCCCCCCAAAAAAAGTTTATAGAAACGTTTTGTATAAGCAAGCAATTTAATAATACACTAATTATCTACTTACATGAGATCCTTCACAAATAGATGGCATTTTATCACAAGATGAAGTTGAAGCTTGTTCTTGCAAACAAACCTGAAATATATATATAAGAAATTTAGAAATACCAGATAATATAAACTACATTCATTTTAAGAAATAATTATTTTACATAACATTTTATAATTCATAAATAGATAATAAATTGTTAACACTCAAAATTCAAAAATAATTCCATAGCACAACAGCCAGATATAGTACAGCTGTTTAGCAACCATAAGACAAACAATTTCATATTTCAGAAATCGTATAAAAATTCATTCAATATATGTAAAACATATGACATTTAATAGCTGCTCAAATGAAAAACATAGAATAGATTCTTTACTAGCAGCTGTTATTTAATCAGAATGGTAATGCTAAATGTTGTTGCAAACACACCTGATATGTACTGTAATGTACACATTTGCAACCACTGGTGAAATGAAATAAAGTGCATGATTATGAAGATGGAAACATTTAAAAAAAACATAGTACAGTTTACGAATAGATGTTAAAAAAACTATTAAAATTTTTTAGAAGTGCAAAATGGCAATTTACATCAGATACTTCGGCAGCAAAATTTATTTCTCCAAAATATGAAGCTGAAGGTTGTGGCAAACTGAAGCCTAAAAGAAATTATAATATATGAAATATGTGGAAGTGAAAGAAATTATAAACTCTGATCTGGATAAAAATGAATATAAATAATCATTACCATTTCAAAAGTAACTGTCAACTTATAAAAAAGCATAAATACATTGGACTGTTCATAGCATTCATACTTCTTAAACTTAAGTAAATATTACGTTAACATATTTTTAAATTTTAGAAACAGTGTTAATACTTTTTAGAAAAAGTTTATAATACTAAAATATTTAATAACTGTTCAAATGAAGACTTACAACAGATGGTTCAGCAACAGAAATCACTTCAGTTGATAAAGGTAAACTGTGCAGCAAGCCACCCTGAAGATGCAAAAATTATGAAACACATATAAGTAAGGATACCTGAAAATGCTGATAAATAAAATATACTTAATGTAATTTTAATAATAAATAATTATAAATAATCCTAATAAGTTTTTGTAAATCTTTAAAACAAAAAATAACAACATTCAGACAAGACATATAAGACATTAAATATACATTTAAATCAATGTATTATAACTATATTATTGTATTACTCAAGATTAAAGTTATTAATTTCAATATTATTTCTTTTATTATACATATTTTCCTATTTACTTTACTCCATACATATTTCTCTCTATTTATCTGGAATTTAAAATTAAGCAAAAAAGCAACTTTAGTTTAAATAAATTTTGATTTAAACTCTTTTGACTTTGAAGGCAATCAGATACCGGTTTCTTTCTTTTAGGAGCAAATTTGAAGAAACCAGACCCATGTATGACCGTCCTCGAAAAACTACAAAAACTTTATCCAAAAACTACATCAAATTGAGGTTTTTATGCTTAATTTTTTCATATATGATTATAATAACAAAGTACATACTTAATTATATATATAACAACAGCAAAATTTTAATTTTTTAATCTAATCTTAGGGACTGTAATTACAGCTTTATCACATAATGCCTTAATTTCAATATTTTGATTCTTTTATAAAGCAATTTAGTCCATTTGTAATAAAAACATATTTTTTTATGAAAACCATAAAAATAAAAACACATACATTACAAAAATTGGATGTAACTGAACGGTGCTTTGGTAAACCAATGCCTTTTAGACGCTGTGGGGGTCAACAGTTTGTGGGGATTAGGCACATTGAAAAGAGTTGGCACAGCATTGGGCTTGAGTTTTTTACGCCCATCTTGCCTAGAGCATTCAAATTGAGTTTTCTTCAAAATGTACCTGCATATATTAACAAAGCATGCATGAAATTTAACATTAAAATCAAAAGCACTAGTATTAAATTACAGTTACATATATATAATAATTAAAATGTAATTTTTCTGATAAATTTAAATTTTTTTTTATGAAAATAGAACAAAATTTTTAAAAAGTAATCATGTTTGTAAAACTACTTAAAACATATTTCCTGCTCACACACTAAAAATAAATTTAAAAGTACCTATAGTTAAAAATACAACATTAAGATTTACTACTACAATAAAGGATAATAATGGATCAAAACGATTCATCGAATATTTAAATTAATATTTAACTTCTTAAAAATGTCTAAAAATACAGATATATTTATCTTACTATAAAGAAAAAACAAAATCATTATTATTTGGATCATACCATCCAGTTTTTAACATTGGCGGCCAACTATCCGATTTGGCGACAATACATCAGAATCAAAACATAGAATGCTACTTTAAATCACCAATCGTAACAGTAAAATTAAAGAAAGAAAAGGCACATCAGATTTCTAACTGAGCACAAAGTTTACATGAATGTATGATAAATTTTACAAACGGTATAAACTTTTACGATAACAAAAGAACAAACATGAAACAACGATATTTTACTGCACAAACACATACACATTCCGCAGTTGATTTTGTACTTATAAAATCATTTTGATCGTCAATAAGTGACAGTTAAATGAAAATAAATATTTTAAAGTACCAAGAAGAGTAATTTTTCTAACATTCTATGGAAAAATACGAAGCTGAACTTACCTCACAAAGATACGCTCCTGGGCCGGGATCCATTGATCTCGACGAGAATTAACTATCCATTTTCTTCGTCTTTCTTCATTTCTAGGGAAACGAAACATCCTAAAGTTATTTTTAGACTGATTCGAACAATTTGGTGCAGCACAACCACCCATATTTCTGAATATTAGGTCGGAATCGATCCACAAATATGTCAACAAATCAGTGCAAATCCAATAGCGAATACCAACAAGTTAGCTTCAAAATGGATGATGATTCAGCTCTCCTTTATAGTAGCCTTACTCTAGGGTTGCTTGAACGGTCTGACGTCATCTAAGTCGTCATTCCTACCACCTCCTCGTGGCGAAAGAAATTCTTCGGTGTCGTAGCGTAGTGAACTGACTGTTGTTTGAAAGTGTAGTGTTGCTGTATAGAACATTTTTTCATTAATTACTTTATTTTTTTTATTAGCCACATAAATGCTGTGTTGCAACATCAAAGGAAATATTTTTAATCCTTCCCAGCTGTAAGGCTTCATGCATTTCTAACTTTTTGATATTAAGAGACTTACTGTAATAAAAAATAAGTAGCATCAAGTTACATAATAATAGCCCCATCCACCCTTTTTTCCCATTTGTATGTAAATGTCATTTCCATTACTTCCAGTTATAAATTTACTAGTACAAACATTCAGGGCCAAAAAAAAAAAAAAATCCTTTTTATATGTTTTGGCACCTAATTGTGCTGCTTTCCTTTAATAAAAATCTGAATTATTTTAAAATTTAAATCTTACTCCAAAAAAAAAATCCTTTATGTTTTGCACCCTAATTTTGCTGCTTTCCTTTAATAATCTGATTTTTTGAAAATTTTAAATCTACTCACAACATCTTCACAATCAGCTATATTTATTTTCTTTTCTAATGGAAAATACATAAAACTTGTTATTCCTTACAATTCTAAGAATTGAGGACATTGATCTATTTAGATTTTTAAAAGTTTTCTACTGATTACTCTGATAAAAATTCCAGTAAGTACTATATAAACTTCATATTTTCATTTGCTAAAAAATTCTCAAAAGTTACAATGAATGCTTTCAGAACAAAAATTTACAAGTTAAAAAAAATTATTCACATAATTAGACAAAGGGATGTTCACATTTAACATAAAATGAAACATAAGAATTTGAATTCCTAGCAAGTGTCAAGTTTTGTTGAATTTTACAATTTTTCTTTTTTTATTATTGGGAAAGATGCAGTTTTGTATTCTAAATAATATATAATTTAAAGATAATAAATGTTTTGCTACCCGTATTTTAAAACTACCAATGAATAAATATGATAGATGCTAAAAATAGTATTTTTCAAATCATTCTCCAGGTTTCTCATCTGTTTAAGAATTCAGTCTTACACGAAGTGAAAAAAAGCGGAAAATGACTAACATTATGGAAATTGTATTTACGAAAAAATGCCGTTAAAATTTTGATTAAAATTAATTTAAGGAGTTTTAATCAACTGTAAACTTGCTTAATTATCGTTTTTAAATAATCTCTGTAGGAGAAATATTTAATAAAATATCTATTCTTCAAAAGCAAACCACATCAGCCAATATTAGTATATATTTATTACTACTAATCTGAAGTATGTTAATTAATTTCTTTACTTACGTTATTAATTTTTAAGCGTAAAAATATATAAGAAATTAAGGTTAGGTAATTGAATTAGAAAATGAGTCGATGTATCAAATCGGAATATATACATATGCACACCCACACCACATAATTATATATTTAAACCAAACGATATAGTAAGCTTATGCAGGAAATAAAAACTACTTTTCATTTTTCGCTCCTCTTAAAGGAATAACAGCGATAAGTGGTTTCATGTGGCAACCATGCTTTCTGTAGATAAGGACGACTTTAGTGACGTAGTATGCGGCGTGCCGTGGCTTCGTATGTAGGAGGTACTGGTTAAGCCCAGTTCACACCAACGCGTTCGGGCGGAAAGTGGTGCCCAATCAGAAGCGAGATTTTCCGGACGACAGAGACCGCACGAGTTGACCCAACTTCAACTTTTCGCCGCCTGCCGCTTCACTTTCAGACACCTTGTTACAAATGTCCATTTATACCGCGGATTTTATATGATTACACTTTAAAAAGTCTTCTTTAGGAAAATAAAAAGTCTGACGGACTAATCTTAATAAAAATTTGAGATGATATTTAATAATGTATGAATTAATAGAACAGCTTATAAATTATTTAAAAGAAAATTCTCAAGTTTATTAGCAGTAATAAACCTTAATTATTAACCACAAATGATATATGGTTGACAATTTTTACAGAATAATCTAAAGCTATAGTCTGTTGCGAGAAAATAGTGATGAATTTTGAAATCCCAAACTTTAAAGTTTCCTTAAAATCTATCTACATCAATTTAAGGTTGCTCCTGTAGCGTATAATAGATGAAACGTTGCCTTGCGGAGTTAAAGATTGTGGATTCAAGCGTTATTAGGAGTGGTATTGTAATGGAGTTTTTTTTTTTTTCTTTTAAGTATTTACAGAAAAATTGGTCGACACTTCTTTAATTTCTTAAACATGAAGTCTGAAACCAGCTTTCTACGCAAGGCACTTTAGCGCACTCAGTACAAAATGTTGCTCCTGGGGGGGGGAACTGAGGGTTACTTTTCCCACCTTTTGTGATGATGCGAATACACCATTTTTTTAATCTGCCTTGACAATTTTGCGCCTCCCAGGCGGTATTGTGGTGCTGTAGCCTTCTTTTGACAACAAGCCTTTGGCACAATTCATAAGATGATCTGACTGATAGGATCTGATTCAGTTTCGGTTGACGCGAGACTAGCGAAAGCGATACTTATATTAGTAAAAGGTTGATAATTTGCCTAATTAAAAATATTGAGTTCTAATTTTAAACGAGTAAACCATTTGTTTAAAAAAGTTATGGAATACGGGCATTTTAATGGCTTCATGTTTGTTTTTTCTGA